AAAAAAAAAAAAAAAATTCCACAGGCGAAGTCAGACGGACAGATCGTTAACGGTTAGTCTATGGTAATACAGTACGTCATTCATCGACCTCAAATGTGTCTTATCTGAAATATGTAAGCATTAGCAACTTTACATGGCGGCTCAATCTAATGTTAACCTAGAGAAATGTGCGCTATTGTGTATATGTGTGTGGAGCAGAGTTGCCAAGTCCACGTATTATACACGACTTTGGGCTTCTTTTTTTGTGAAGTTGCGTGAAAAAAATCCCGGGTCGCTGTTTTTTGGACTTATTTTTAAAAATATGGTTGCTTGTTAGGGAAATCTGACAAGCAACTTCGTTTCTTTATTTATGTTCGCCGTATTCTCCAATGCATTGAATGATACTCTGTCTGCTCGCAGTTAAAGGGGTCATATGATGCTGCTAAAAAGAACATTATTTTGTGTATTTGGTGTAATGAAATGGGTTTATGCGGGTTTAAAGTTAAAAAACCACATTATTTTCCACATACTGTACATTATTGTTTCTCCTCTATGCCCCGCCTTTTTGAAACGCGTCGATTTTTACAAAGCTCATCAGTCTGAAAAAGCGAGGTGTGCTCTGATTGGCCAGCTATCCAATGCGTTGTGATTGGCCGAATACCTCAAGCATGAGACGGAAATGTTGTAATGTATTAATTATCACGGGCTGTAATAAAAAACAAGTAGTCCTGTACTAAAACTAAGAGTAAATATGGTTCGAATAGCCTATATTTTAGTAGGTTATAAATATGTGGCTATGTTACAGCTCCCCTTTGAAGCTCTTGTGTTTTTCTCCTTTTCTATCTCTCCAATCCTATTCTGCTCACAGGTGACTGGAGATGAGTTTTGTTCCCACTTTTGTTGCAGTTTGCTGATTTTTGTAAAATAGCTTCTGTTTTTGCTTTTCAGATAAAAGAGCGGTTTCAGTTTAATGTGTTGCAGGCTCATTTATTGGTAATAAATAATTTATAAATAATATTGATGATAATAAATCATCAAAAAATATTGGGCTTGTTTTTAAAGCTGCGGTTGCTTATTTGTTTCGCGAGTTGGCAACAGTAGAAGAAGTTGAGTGCAGGACAGATGGAGGCGCCGGTGCGCTCACGTACTCTCAAAATAGGCTACTCCGTCATTTTTGGTCATTCAGATAAGAGTAATACATCTTTCAAATCTGTAAAGACTCAACGTTTATCTGTGTGCACTCACAATAACAACAAATCGCGCTTTTGTGAAAATAATGAAAGCAAACAGGATGCGCTTTCTGCCGTCTCGGTCTGTGATCTTGAGCGCGAAACTCTGTGTATATCTTTGCCTTACAGACATTAAAAATATATAGAGAGAGAGAGTGAAATGTCTACTTTCAGATGAACCAATTCAAATGGAAAACAAATATTCTCAGATTATGTAATCCGTATGAAACAAGGTGCATCACTACTGCGAAGATGAGTTCATCTGTTAAACAGAGAACAAAGAAAGCACTAATTTATCAAATTATTAAAATGTTAATGCAGTCTCCTTACTGTTTTTCACTGACACATTCATAATCATTATGTGCTGTGGCAAG